GTGCCGCGACTTCGGCGTGCCCGGCGGCACGCTGCGAGGCTGGCTCAAGGACGAGCCCAAGCTGCGCTGGTTCCTGGACCAGCTGGGCGGCGAGGTGGGCACGCAGCGCAAGAAGATGCGGTTAGCCAATGAGGAGGAGATCGACCGCGCAGTGTACTCGTGGTTTCTCGCGCTGCGCCGGCATGGCGTGCAGCTGTCTGGCCCGCTCATCCAGGCGCAGGCCGAGGCCTTTGCACGCCAGATCTATGGGCCTGAGTGCACCTTCAAGGCCAGCCATGGCTGGTTCTGGCGCTGGCAGAAGCGGCACGGCATCTCCAGCCAGCGCATCTATGGCGAGGTGGAGCCCCCATCCGCGGGCCCCACGGTTGGCCCACCGGTCAAAGCAGAACCTGCTCAAGCCCCCAGCACCGGCCCGCTGCCAGACCGGGCTTCCGCTGCGCCGTGCCCCTCCGAGGCTGGTTATGGCGATGAGCAGATCTACAACGCCAACGTCACTGGCCTCTACTGGAGGCTGCTTCCGGAGCAGGCTGTGCCCCCCGGTGCTAGGGACCCAGAAATAGGGGGATGCGGCTGGCGCGCCGACCGTGTGACAGTGCTCTTGGCTGCCAATCTGACTGGCAGTCACAAGCTGAAGCCGCTGGTCATTGGGCAGCTGCCTGATCCTCCCAGCCTGCGCCACCACAATCAAGACAAGTTCCCTGCCTCCTACCGCTATAGCCCCGATGCTTGGCTCAGCCGTCCACTGCTGCGCGGCTGGTTCTTCGAAGAATTTGTTCCAGGCGTCAAGCGATACCTTCGCCGAAGCTGCCTACAGCAGAAGGCAGTGCTGCTTGTTGCCCACCCTCCCTGCCACAGCTGGGGCACCAGTATGCCCTCTCTGGAGGAGAGCGAGGAGACCCCCAGGCGATGCCAGCCGGAATCCCTCGGGCCTCCAGAGGAGCTGCAGACACCCGATGGCGCTGTGCGGGTGCTCTTCCTATCCAAGGGCAGCAGCCGGGCACACATCCCTGCACCTCTGGAACAGGGTGTGGTGGTGGCTTTCAAGCATCTATACAAGCGGGAGCTGCTGCGGCTGGCCGTGTCCTGTGCCAGTGGCTCACCACTGGACTTCATGCGCAGCTTCATGCTCAAAGATATGCTGTACTTGGCTGGCCTCTCCTGGGACCTGGTGCAGGCAGGCAGCATTGAGCGCTGTTGGCTACTGGGCCTGCGGGCTGCCTTTGAGCCTGAGCAGCAGCCAGCCCACCAAGCTGAGGAAGCTGCAGAGCACAACAGGTTGCTCAGTGACCTCACACATCTGGCAGCACTGGCTTACAAGCGCCTGGCACCTGAAGAGGTGGCTGAGTGGCTGCACCTAGACGATGATGGGGGCCTCCCTGTTGGCTGCAGAGAGGAGGTGGGCCCTGCCTGGCCCCCTGCATTGGCCCCTGCAGCCTCGCCATCCCCAGCCAGTCTGCCCTCTAGCATGGGAGGTGGAGAGGAGGAGGAGACCACAGAGCATGGAGGGGTATTGGTGCCCACTGCAGGAGAGGCTGTCTGGGGTCTAGAAACAGCTCTTCGGTGGCTAGAGAGCCAGGACCCCAGGGAGGTGGGGCCACTGAGGTTGGTGCAGCTTCGCTCACTCATCAGCATGGCCCGGAGGCTGGGGGGAATTGGGCCTTCCCCAGCAGCTCCTGATGATGGTGTTTGACCATGCCAGCCTAGTTACCTTTTCCTGCTGCAGTTTCCCTGCTTCCCTGAGGTAGCCCACCCAATGGGTTCACGGGACACGGGTCCCAGCCCAACTTGGGCTCTGTTGGTAAAGGGTCATCCTGCCCCAGTGGTCCGTCCACAGGCTCTTGGGGAGGATTGCTGAAGGAGGGCCCTGGCTGATCCTTCTCCCTAGGCTGGACACACGAGGTTCCCTCACACACACTGGGCACATGCTCAGCACCTATCCAAGAGCAGTTGGCTTTGT